TTGGTACATGCATTCATATCTTCTCGCTTAGACAGCTGTAATTCATTATTGTCTGGTCTCCCTGTAACTAAGATAAAACCTCTTATTCGTGTACAAAATGCAGCAGCCCGCCTTGTCACTCGTGCTCGAAAATATGACCACATTACAGACATTTTTATTAAACTTCATTGGTTACCAGTTGTACAAAGAATCAATTTCAAATTACTTTTACTAGTGTACAAATCTTTGTATGGTTTTGCCCCAAATTATCTATGTGAATTAATCGAATTTTATGTACCTAGTCGTAGTTTAAGATCTGAATCAAAGTTTCTTATTAAAACTCGTCAGGTGTGTAGTAAAAAGTCCAAGGTGTTATACAAAGACCGTGCTTTTGAAAATTTAGGTCCTAAACTTTTTAATGAATTACCTCTGTCTGTTCGTTCTAGTCCTTCAGTAGACATTTTTAAATCCAGACTGAAAACGCACTTATTTAAATGTGCTTTTAATATTTGACTGATTGTTTATTGTATCAGCGCCTTTGATCTTCATATGTTGGAATTGTTGCGCTTAATTAAATAAAGTTATTATTATTATTATTATTATTAAACTACCCGACACAACATAGTAAAATCAGTAAGAGAAAGATATATGGTCCTAAGGCAAACATAAAGTGATGACAGGTGTTTCAAAAAGAGTGAGCACATCCTGTTACCTACATCGTACATTCCTTTTATTAAATCAACAGCTTAATTACATTTTATTGTTACAGTAGTCATCATTGATATCATATTATTGTGGTTATACAGATGAGTGAGTTGGAATGTCGCCATAGTAACATGTAACATAGTAACATTTAATACTTCACTTGTTTCAAGTTAAATTTAAATTATTATAGTCATATTTTAAATTGCAACTATTCCCCAAGACACACAGCTCTAATGATGCATATTAATACAATGGATAATCAGGACATTTGAGTTATATATTTACAGGTGCATAAGAGACATCATTAATCATACCAAAAACAATACAATTTTAAATTAGCATTCTGTGCAAAGCCATCACTGCGTTCATTCAAAATGGAATATAATAAATAATTCACTTTGAATGCATTCCAGCTTATGTCACATTTGAACACTTTCCTTTGTTTTTATCGGATGCAAAAACAGTATATAGCATGTGACGGGAATGGAATTCACCCTAACACATTTTGTTGCCATTTTGGTTATATTTATCAAATAATCATTACAAGCAGGAAACAGATTTTGAATATTAATGTTATTACAAGAATACCAAGTATGCATTCATGACATAAATTTAGATACATGTACATGTAAAAGGATTTGTGACCTTTAGGGGTCATGCAGTCTTGAGTACCAGGATGTGTGACCTTTAGGGGTCATGCAGTCTTAAGTACCAGGATGTGTGAATTTTAGGGGGTCACTTATAAGTACCAGGATGTGTGACCTTTAGGGGTCAGTCATAAGTAACAGGATGTGTTATATTATAGTGGTCAGTCTCAAAGCCAATTTCACCTACCATTACTTTTTCTAGTTGAATGTACTGCTACTCAGAATGTGAAAAAAAACTACATTTCTATCCTTAAAAATTATATTTGCATTTCAATGTATTTGTTTTCAGTATTAATCTCCTAGCTTTTGCTAGCTTATGTTAACTTGTATTAGAGTATTTACTAGTTATTTATATGTATTTATTTATTTTTCTGCTTTCTCCTCATTTTTGCATGGTGCATTGTCTGTAAGTGTAATATTTTTTATTTTTTTTTTGTTTATATTATTTTATTTTTTATGTCTTGAATTTGAATATTAACTTTGGCTGAAATAGGAAACAATTTGTATGATAATTATAACAACTTGCACTATGGTATTCATTATACATGTTCTGGATAAACAGTGTCCATTTGATATCTATATATATATATATTACATATTCCCACTGTATCAATTTTTAGTTTCCATGTTAGCCCTTTGAATTCTGTTGTCAGATTTTGTCACATTTCACAAAATAGACCTTCATTATTACCAGTAGACCTACTATATATATGTAGTGGGAAACTTTGAATGGGTTTTTGATTCCCCCTGTCCGATAACATGCCTGGACCAATTTTGTACTAAGTTAATACAAATACATGTGGTGTACTTATGCATGATGATTTAATTATTTTTTCATTGACCTTTGACCAAATGGCAGCAATATTTGTCTCTTAACACCATAAATTAACATTTGAATGTGTTCCTGTCAACCATTTTTCAGGCATATCTGGGCCGACTTTATTCAAACAGACATCACTCATAGTGGGTTATACTGATACACATAATTTTGACTGATTGGCGGCCATTTTCATAAAAAATTATAAAATGTCATTTAAAATTTCTAGAATTTCAAATTTAATTGGTATGAAAAACATAGTTTTGTTTTGTGATTTAATTCAGTAAGTCCAACTGGCGGCCATGTTGGTTTTGATTTTGTATGTACTTAATCATTTCTCGGTCATACATGTACTTTAACAAATTTTGATTTTGTGTTCAATTCTAAATTTCTACCAAATACAAACAGGGACTATAGCATTGATGAAATAATAGATCAATATCTGTAGCCAATTGAATATAGCTCGTTACTATGGTGATACCAACAATTGCATTTCTCATTTCTTGTGATTTTCAAAAAGACAATTTACATAAAAATATAATGTTATAATAATACTAATATAGTATTTTGTATCAATTTTTTATTGCCTTATTTGGCAGCTGTGACTGGTGGACCGAATGAAGGTATTGCGCGAGGTGGATTTGCAACCAATTTTCGGCAGCGGTGTCGGCGGCTCGGGAGTGAAAGGTATTGAAGGTACCAGTAGTGGGATGCATCTTCAAAGGATTGGTATCAAGATTTATGGAGAGCAAAGATGAAATTTACAGTCCAGAAAATTTGGTAAGATAAAAATTACCGGTAGTGTTTATTAGCAGTATGAAAGCATTTACAGATAATGTTCCCAGTCAGTGAAAAGTTATCTCCTGATATTGCTTTTTTGTACAGTTGTTAATACCCAGGGTGGCCTCCCGGGTTACTCGCTATTGGTTTGTATTGGTCGTACTTTACCAACAATTGATATTCGTGTATTATAGAAATAAATCAGACATTCATACTTTTCTTATTGAAAGTTACATGCAAGACTGCTGAATACTCTTTCACCAAACCAAGCTTTCAAATTATTCAGGGAGTGTGAAAATATTGTAATAAAGGACTTTAGCATTAAACAAAGAAGATTACAAACTTTGATAATACACTGGATTTTTGGAAGACAAAAGTGGCGTTCATGTCTCAACACTTTCAAAACTTGTGTGTGTAATCGTTATTTTTTTGCAATGCTACATCATCGTGAAAAAATTATTATTAACAATTATTATTGTCATCATATGCGTATCGTTTTCCATGTTAGGGTTAGATACAGATCGACGAATGAATGATTTTGGCACAAGCCTAGTGGGTCCCAATGTGGGATCTCGACTAACGTGAACGCAACTGCTGTAATTACTCTCCAAACATGAAGGATTACAAATTTCGACATGTGCCTAGATCCCTTAGATGGTCTAAGGGTCAAAGGTCAAAATGTTAAAATGTTTACTTCTAACCCAATAGAAAGCTTTATTCAACCTTAATTTGAGGCCAAAATTCTTTTTCAAGAAAGGTTTTGCAATGCATGTAATATATACTACAGATTTATGAAAATGAAAAAAAAAAATAGTAAAACACATTTAAATTGTGCATGAACGTTATGAACACCATAATTTTTTCTAATTTTATGAATTTTTCTGTAATTCTGTAACCAAACGAACAATATTTTCCATTGCCGACAGGTCGTCTAGGTGATTTATTTTTTTTTAAATGTGGGAAATTTATGCATGTTTATTTTCGGAAAGTTGACAAAAGTTAACTTTTACATTGCAAGGGTTAAAATAGTACAGATTATTCACATAGACTCTCACAATGTATACACCAGATGTAAAAATAGTACAGATTATTCACATATTATAGACTCTCACAATGTATACACCAGATGTAAAAACAAGTAGTTTAAATTAAATGCATCAATTTATTTGGTTGAATATTTACAGAGTTTACATGGAGAGATTAGGCAATTACTACAGTACGTGAAGGAAGCGCATGGCGGCGTGTTTAGAAGAGTGGCTCTTAGCGGAATGTTAGACTCTGCAGACAAAGGTGAAAAGGAGGCCAAAGAAAAGGAAATGAAACAGAAAGCAAAGAAGCCCAGCATAATGTGAGTTTGTTTACCCAAACATCTTTTTTCTCAGGGTGATTCTATTTGTCTTGAAGGAGCAAAGGATTGTTTTAGTTAGTGTCTGCTATGTCTGATCTGTGTAGTACATAGTGAACATTTGTTTCATTTTGAAATGAACATTTCATTAGGTATTCAATTGTTAGTTTTTTCTAATGCTTTGAGATTGAAGCATTGGTTGTTGTGATAATTGATTATTTCATTGTCATTATCTACCTATTAAAGTACTAACCTGGCAGAGCCATTTCCACCAATCAAGTAAAAGGAATCAAATTTCTATTCTCTATGCATGGAACACATGGAACTGCCTGGAACTTTATTATGTTGTTTGATTAGTAGTAAAGGTTGCATTGAATGTATTTCACTTTTGCCATCAGAATCAACACTGATACTATAAAAATAACAATATCAATGG